GTGAGCAAATTGATAAGAGGGTCAATCTGCTCTGCCAGCTATGCCCAATCAATTACCTGGTATTATGCAAGTTGGCCATAAGGGCACACCCTCCTCCATCCGCAGGCTCCTTCTTCAGCAGGCTCTGGGATGGTGGTTGTATTATTGAAGGGCACACACATTGTGTGGATTATGTACCCCCTAGAGTGCATCAGCATTCCTTCTACTTGTACATCAGTTTGTACAGCAGAGCCCAGAGAATGGTCAGTGGAGGGTCCTGTGACAGGTAATGCTCTTACCATTGCTCGGGAGATAATGTGGACTTAGGTCCCAGGTGGGGCATCTTTAATGGTTATTATCGATAGTCAACATACTCCTGGGCCTCTTCATTATCCTCCTGACACATGGTTGCAGTCACAGAGTTGGATGGAACAGAGCTAGATGAAGCCAACTCCTCTGTGAATACATAAAGGACTTTGTTCCAATAATGGCTTTGGAGTAAATGTGCCCTAGAAATGCAGAAGGACTCCTGAAAGTACCAGAGAGGCACAAGTAATTTATACAGTCAAGTGTACTTGAAGAATAGGGACAGAACATGGTATTCAAACAGACTGATGGCTTTATAAACGTATATTAACAAACTGAGAGACACACAATATGAAGATGTTTTCTAAACCATTTGGACTGTGAAGAAGATTATTTTTAAAACACTATTAATTCACTGTTACCAGATTTTTCAGACTCTGAGGGTATGATTATCTCCCTTGATGAGTTGATAGTATTGTTTGGTGATTGTGCATTCAGACCAACCTGTTTTTTTCCCTTGGCAGTTTTTTGTTTTGGACATTTGGTGGATTTTTTTTTAAAAAAGAATACTTTCCCATTTTTCTCTTTGTGATCTGTGTGATGCAATTAATCTGTTTACCGCAATCCTGTGAAGCTTGCAGAATTTTCAATACTTGTGGGATATCAGAGGGTTGTGTTTTAAGGTTGCTGGAATTGTTCCTTTTGATTCAATGAATTATTCCACCAAAGTAAACAGTTTAGCCTCTGCTCCTTGGCCATGGTCATCTATGCACATCAACCTTACTGTTCACTTTTGTCTTTTGCTGCCACCAGGGTTTGATGACATATACATTAGCATACATCAAGTGGCTTGTCTGCTTGTTGAGGCAGTATATTTGAATAATTCCAAATAAATTTTGACTAGATGTCTCAACTTATCTGCTGTAATAAATGAAAATGCTTTGTGTTGAAATTTATAGCCTTTGTGATTGGATGGTAAATTTAACAGCGCATAACAGTCTTAAGTACCTTAATGCCCAAAGCTGGAATATGGCTCCCATCATCGTGTTTCCAATCAATTACATTCAAACAGATATTTTTTGTGTTTAATACAATTGTTGTTTGCTTCTGTCTCTCAACAGGCATAACCATACATATAATAGAAATATCCACACTGTGTTATAACTAACTTAAAATGTATACTGTATGTATAATTCTTCAGGATTCTTCTGGGAAAAAAATATTATACTGTGGCACATGCTGTAATACTGTTATTCTTTAGGGCAGGTATGCTCAACCATTATTATATCCTTAAATATATTTTTAGTACAACATTCATCTTTCTGACACTGAACAAAGCTGTTACATCAAAGGAATTGATTATAAACAGCAAAATACTAAAATTTCATAGGAGCAAATGATACCGGTTTCTTCTCGTTTCTCATTTTGTAAAAAAACAATCTCTACTATTGTATCCACGAGAATGGCACTCATTATGTTGCAGTACTTGATGCACTGATCTCTCTCACAAATAAATGGCACTACAGTTGTAGCAGCATCCCCAGTCCACAAAGCAACTTAATTTAGTGATTAAGTGATTCAGACACTATATACAGCTAGAGTTAAAGTCAGTTTTTCTTTCTCTGGGTTCAGTTGATATTCATAATTAGCTCTCACATCTTTAGATTTCCTTAGTCATATTATTACCCTTTCCCTTCTCAATCATTTTACCAAGAAAAACAACTTCAGCTATCATGTTTCAACAACTTAACTTATTAATATTGTACTTACATAACAGATAATTTAAATCATGTGAACAATCAAAAGCATGAATGAGTAATCTTTTTAAAATATGATGGACATATGAGGAAGCAAAAAAAATGCATCTTACACTTGCACTTGTTCAATGGAAGAAGTTAATACCAGCACAATTCCTTCCTGTAACCTAATAACTACATTTTCAAGTTATTCCTCTGAAATAAAGCTGAAGTTTAAAGTGAAACCATTGCATTATAAAACATTATTAGTCACAAGCTGCCATTTTAGGTCTCTCCCAGGTCATTTAAATAACACAAAATGTGCCAATTCAGGGATATTTGAACTTGTGAAGGGAAGAGTTGGGAAGGCCGATGAGGAAGGAGTTCCAGTAATCGAGCTTTGATGTGACGAATGCGTGGATGAGGGTTTCGGGTGAGGGGTGAGGCAGTGGCGGAATCTGGCAACGTTGCGGAGGTGGTGGTAGGCAGTGCCGGTCATGACCCGAATATGGGGGAGAAAGGACAGTTCAGGGTCAAACAAGATACCCAGATTCCTGACTGGCTCAGTGAGGTTGAGTGTGCAGCTGTGGAGGTTGATGCTGCCAACACCTGAGGTGCGGAGGTCCTGGCGCGAGCCAATCAGGAGGGCCTCGGTCTTGCTGACGTTGAGTTGGAGAAAGTTGGCCCTCATCCAGGACTTGATGTCAGACAGGCAGTCGGTCAGAATGCCAGTAGTCCTTGAGTTCAGGGTGGAAGCAGAGAGGTAGAGTTGGGTGTCATCCGCATACATGTGGAAATTTACGGATGACGTCACCAAGGGGGAGCATGTAGAGGGTGAAGAGGAGGGGACCGAGGACAGAACCCTGAGGAACACCGCACGAGACAGTGCGGGGACTGGAGTAGAAGCCATTTGCCGCGATGAAGTGCAGGCGGTGTGAAAGGTAGGTCCTGAACCAGTCAAGGACAGAACCTTAAAGGTGGGAGGAAAGGTGGTGGAGGACAGTTATTTAGTGGCAACTGAAAGATTGAAGGGTGTGCTTTATGTTAGTTTTTCTGATATAGGTAAAGACACTAGAAAAGGTTCAGTGGTTTCATAAATTTTACCTTACATTGGGTCAGAATCTGATGCCTTCTATTTACAGTCAATCTACCTTTCGTGAATTATTTAATCTGCTCTGACAACTGAATTAGCCAAATACTATTATGCATCATTTACAACAGCAAGAGAATTGGTTAGCACTAGACAAGAACATTTATTTATTTGTGAATTCAAAACAACACTCAAAGGTTTTTTTTACTCTATGTGGAGAACAGAAAACCATGCAGGTCGATGAATCAATCTCGATAATGGTGAAAGCCGAATGCAATAAATAATACAGTAACAACCCTAAACTAATGAGCTGTTGCTGAGGTACATTTCACAGGCTCATACTCTATATAAAAAGCCACTAATAATCCCTTGGTGCAATCAGATGATAAAGCTTTGCCATAAGGCAACACCTGTGCAATTAAAACTGCAGATTCTTTTGCACGTTTCATTAATTTCAGGATTTTGTAAAGGCACAATGAGTACACTAATAATCTAGTCTACTTGACTCCATGTCTACTGGAAACAGGGTGTCTAATTAGGTAAAGGTAATTAATTAGAGATAAATGGAGCTAATCAGACTCAGTTAACACTCTTTTATTTTCTGAATTAAGACATTTTAGGACACCTACTACCCCGTTGGTTGTGATAGTCTCCTGCTGAAGTGAAATGGGGAAAATGCAGCATCACTGTGCGGTGTAAAGTATGGAATGCATACATAACTAATGACAATGTGCTTTGCATTTCAAATGATTGTGCAGTAAATGGATGTTGTTAATTTTGAGAAGGCAAAACCACAGATGAATTAAGCTACGTAAAACTGATTTCCCTTTTTAGTAATACTGAAACGCTCCATGAGTGCTAAAAGGTTCGTGTGTCTAATGCAGGGTGACGCTCTTCACATTTCATTGTATCCTGCAAGCTATTCTGATTATTCTCTGTGTTGTATAATTCTATTTTATTAGAAGTAAAAATGAAAGACATAAAACATTTAGGAGAAATATCGGCAGGAAGACGTCCCTGTTTTCTGTAATGCTGCACCATAGTAAGAAGTGTGCAGGAGTTAGAAGATAGAAATTGCAATAAAATTCAATTTAGGATTTATTTTTTGCCCAGAATTTGGTTCAACTTCCAATAATGATTACATTTTTTCCTCTTTTCTTCTTCAGGCTGTAAGTTATTTTTCCTGCTTGCTATTTCTCGGTTCCCCACAGCCATGTTACACAAAATCATTCCCAGAATAAAAGGGGAGAGAGGTGGCACTCAGAGCCAGGCCTCTTCCAAAGCCATTCTTGTTCTGATGACCAGGAGATGTATGAAATTGCCCTGGCATAATTTCCCACCTCACTATCCTTCCTTTTGCGTTGCTTGATGCCATTTCCAAGCAATCCTTCTAAGAATAACAGTTGATCCTTTGTTCCTTAATCCATTCATGGTCATTCCAGATTACAGCACACACATATATGAAAATGCTACCCAAATGGATTATTCAATAATTTTTTGGGAAGTTCTAGGGCACCCTCTGCGCTTCAGAATCTCACTCAAACGGTCATTCTTTATGTATGAGTTGTAAGTGTTAACTGGGAACTCAATCATGAGGCATCGAAACTGAGCTGATCCATTCATCACTAACATCCGCACGCTTTTCTATAGAATTTACTGGATAGTGACCAGAATTTGAACTTGTGACCTCTGGCATAATGGAGGGGAAAATGCCTTTACCCACTTGGTCATGACGGGAGTACTGAGGCAAAGTACTTTGATTACAGCGTGGGTAATTTGACTGCTGCAGTCTAATAGTAGATGGGCGTCTATATTGAACTACCCGCATACTAATGGGGGTGAGAGAAGGCATTTGGATGCAGCACATTGATTACAATTAGAAGAGTCCT